ACGTAGCAAGTCACACCAACTCCATTTCAAGACTCCTGAACACCAGCAATGCAGGAGCATGATTGCGGGTAAACCATTTCTTTTGTTCGAACAGCCGCAGACTTTGAAATGCGTGGCAGAGTCAGCTGTTCGGGTTGATCGGGATTCTTCCCCCGCACAGTAAGAGGCCATCCCGTGGTGATCCGAGCTGAGAGATGCCACGGGCTCCGCCAGGGCCAATGTTCCTATGATACCTGGACGGCAGCCACCCCAGTCGCTTCCCTGGACTCGGCTGCTTGGAGAATGTCCAAGCGTGTTCGCGGGAGGATTTGTTCCAACAAGGTAGCACGAAGCCAGAAATGCCATGGCAAGCCCTTGTGTGCTTCTTGCTTTCACAGCCGCATGGGTGAAGCAACAGCAAGCCCCACAAAAAATCAAACAAAAGAACATGGGCTACTCATCCCTATGTCATTGTGTGGCAAGCTGCTTCAGCTATGCCAGCTATGATGGACTTGCATTGCATGTTATCATCACTAGCCCAAGAAGTGAGAGAATGCAACAGGTGAGATTGTCGCAATGATGTTGGCTTATGACGCGGCCAGCAAGGTTGGGGGATCGACCACGTCAGCCGCCAGACATAGATGATGCCGCTCTTTCAGGCGGACAACTTCCCTGACAATCCATTGAGAAGTACAATAGTGATGGCTTGTTTCCCCTGAAGTGATCATGTGTGTTTTGTTTGAAGGCGGACTGAAGGGCTGATTGACGGATTGCGGACGGATGGGCTCAGGTACAGTCGGACAGATTGATGGGCGACTGACAGATTGATGGGCGACTGACAGACTGACCGACCAACTGGCTGACTGACGCACTGACTGAGACCGCAACAACCCCTAGATCATGTGGTCCTGCATTCACTCTTCAAGGGGAAAAAACAGTTTCCCTGAACAGAATGGCAGTTTGCAGTTTGCGGTTCATTTGCACCAGTTTCTCCCGTTTGCATCGGGTAGGCCTGTTGCATCTCGGGGCTCGGCTCGCCGCCGCCCGCGGTGTGTTTTCTCGCAGGCGAAGAATGGCTGGCCCGAGGCCTGCAAAGCAAAGAGGCTTACGGATGACTTGGCCTCGAGTCTTGGCTGAGTCCGTGGCGATGGTTTTGATTTCACTTTAGACGCTGGGGGGTCCACGATTTTGACAAGAACATGCTCGAAGCCTAAGGTAATTAGCCACGTCCTGCTGGGCAATGCGGCGGATGCCTTGAATCAGACGTGTTGTCTATCGTTGCTCCTGGGCTTGCTTTGTGCTATCCTGCCCTCCCACTTTGGGCTGTGTCCCCGAGCTCGGGGCCATACAGTGAAGATAG